GAGGGGGCGAGCAGAAAAAAAAATGTAGAAAAGAACAAGAAAACTTCCCCTAGCCCCCCGCGCAGGGCAGGACCTGAGGAGGGGAATTCCATTATCTCCCCTCAGCGCAGCGAGCAGGCAGCAGACCAGTGGGGGGAAAGAAATGCTAACGATTTCAAACCGAAGCGCGCCAGGAATGGTCGGCAGCAGGAGCAGGTCGGCGGAGGCGCGGCGCGGGGGAGCCGCGTGAAAAACAATCCCTCTCTAGCCCCGTCTTTCATCTGCGGCTCGCGGGGTGCATTGCGAACGATACTATCGCTACTCGGACGCGTCCCTCCCGGCGAGGCGCGCCCAGCGCAGCATCCCCCCTCCGCTCCCTTTCGGAACAAAGTTGTTACGCGAGGCGCGTGGGTGGGCGGCCGAGTCGAGTGGAATGACTGGGGCAAGTGAACGCGCGGGGGGGGGGGAGAGAGAGAGAGAGAGAGAGAGAGAGAGAGAGGGGGGGGGGGGGTGAAAAGAAAAGCGAGGCGTGCTGTTCTGGTTGGAATAATGGGAGAGAGGAGAAGGATGATGTCGTGTGAACGATAAAGCAGCACGACGACGACGACGCCTGCCCGACCGCGGCCAACTCCAGAGCCACACCGCCACATCCGCACCGCACGCGGGTCCCCCCGTGATAAGCCCGCAGCGGGCGGAAGGGGTGAGGGGGGTGGCGGAGGGGGGGGGGGCAATCTCGAAAGGACCGACCGAGCGGTCGAGCCTACGACATCGAGGCTCCGGCTTAGCTACGCCCCACCTCCGTGTCACTGGCAAGGTCTCCCCCCTTCCCCCTCTTCTCCTTCTCTCGTTCTTTCTCACGTTCTTTCTCACTTTGTCCCTGTCTTATTTCTCTCCCTCTCTCTCTTAGCTCTCGGTCGTCCCTTTTCTCCCCTTCTCCCCTGCTCCCCCAAGGACTCTAGGCGAGGCTAGACTTTGGGCCCGTCATTATTACGCGTACGTCGTGGCAGCAAACATGAAATACTCGGGGGACTCGACTCGGGGCCTTCGGTTCTCGCGCCCCGCGTCCTGGGCCCCGCTTCCAGCGCGACGCAAGTCGTCGTCGTCCTCTTTTACTGCGCCGTGAGCGGAGAGGCGGCGCATGGGGGCATTAGAAGGGGGGTGGGGGTGGAATGTGTAATGAAGGCGAGCCCATACCACCCCGCCCCCGCCGGAGCTACGCCGCTGCGGCCCCGCGGCTCACCTCAGTGCTGCCAGAAAGTTGGGCAAAAATCCACCAAACACACCTGAGTTCAACGGGCGCGTATCTCCGCGCCTGCCGACTAGGCAACATCTGTTCACGCCTACAGGGGGGCTGCCTAGTATGCAGGCGAGCACAGCGCGCACTGCACCCAAGGTGTATTTGAACCGATTTATTTATTTTATTGCAAATTTTCGCCTAAAATCTTCCGGCAGCACTGGCTCACCTAGTCCCGGCCCCATAGCCCCGCACCACCTGGGCGTGGCGGCGGCGGCGGCGGCGCTGCCATCGGCGTAGTCATGGAAACGAGTTGGGCAGGTCTAGGCAGGCAGCAGCGCCAGTGTGCGGAGTGTGCCACTGTGCCAGGCCACACGGTTACACTACACGCCCGTCGGCCGAGCCAAAGCGACCGCGCCGAGCGACTACGGGGTGCGACGAGCGCGGGGGACGGCGCCATGGGCCCCGGGGAGGACGTCAGCAGCGTCAGCAGCATGGGCGGCGCGCGGAGAGGTGCGTGTCGCACGGGAGGGCGCGTCCCGCCTCCTCCCTGCACCGGGGAGTGACAGCCCGACACGGCGCGCCGGCCGATCAGGCGGCAGGACAGTGCTGTTCGACCCTGTCCCTCCTGATGTGGGCGATTGTGTCGGCAGCGGTGACGGCGTAGGGGTGGGAGGAGGGGGAAGGGGGGCAGTGTTAGCTTATTCAGTTTACCCCTGGCCTGCGGGGCGACACGACGCGCCGTCCGCTCGCGCCGCGTCGCCTACACTGTAAACTTGATGGTGTCTCAGAAGGAGGCGCCAAAGTCGACTCCTACAGAAAATGAGCAACTTCAACGCCTTCAGCTACTCCCCTGAGCACACCTTCATCCGCATTTCACATAGGCCAACCGGGTCCGTGGGAGTTAGACTGCAGGGGTTTCTCCAGAAGGTACCTTCCGTTGATGCCACTTTTCCCAAATTAGTAAAGAACGAATGTGCGTGAATGCAAGGCACCTTTTGGAGTAACACTGTGATCTAACTATAATGCACCCTGTTGGCCTTTGTTAAATTTGTACAACGGCGAGCCCGGGACAGACGCCCGAGGCGCCTAGTCGATTATGTGTAGCAAGCGACTTCGGCGGGGCTACTTCTGAAACACCTCGCATTTACAGTTTATCAAGCGTGTCGAAGAGTCGATAATGAATTACGGTATGAATGAAATGCCAGAGAAGGGGAGGGGCGCTGCCGCTAATGAGGCAGGAAAAGCGCGAGCAACAGCCTTGACCGTGGTCTTGTCGAGCTGCTCGCGAAGCAGAGCGCAAGCAGCAGCGGAAGGCGACGGCAGCTCTTCGCTTCCGCCTCGTGGGACAGAGGGGGGCAGAGGCGGGCGTGGCGGGGGAAGGGTGGGTAGGAGGGTCTTCCCTCTGGACCAGGAACCCGTCCCGCCCACCCTCCACCACGTCGACCTGGCCCTGGTGTCCCCTTACGCGCCGCCACTTCGCGCCATACGGACGGCGCGCTACGCTGCGTCACGGCGCGTCGTGATTAGGGCCTACTACCCACGGGGCCGGGGGTGGGGGAGCACCACACGGCGAGGGGCACCATATTGCAGGCCGGCGCCGCGGCTGGCGCAGCTGGCGCTGCTCGCCACCTGCAGCCCGACCAGGTGCGCCACCTGCGCCCCTTACCTGGTGACGAGTTGTCGCCCATCGTGGCGGCTGGCGACCTCGGCGTCTGGGGCGGGGGGCGGTGTCGACGGCGCGGTGCGGGTGGGCGCAGGCCTAGTGCGCCATGTCCTCCCTCGGTCGTCGGGGTCCCGCAGCACCGCCTGCAGCTGCTGGCCTGGGGCCTAACGTCTGCTGTCGCTCGTGCTGCTCGTGCGGGCCGACCACATCCCTGCCCTGGTCGAGCGACACTGGCGGCTGGCGGGCGAGGCGGGCGGGCGGCGGCGCGTAGCGGCGCGGCCAGGCTGTGGGCCAGGCCAGCCAGGCCTACGGGGGCCTCGCGGGGGAGCGGGGCGCGAGCGGGTCGCCTCCCCCTCCCCGCGGCGCATGCGCCCTCCGCCAAGGGTGGCTCCCTTCTAGCGCCCCAACAACCTCAGAGACTACCCCTGCCACCCACCCCGCCACCACCGCACGGGGAGGACGCCGCGGAGAGGACGGCCGAGTCCCTTCCCTTCATCCTTAGGGCGACTAACCTGGCCGCCGCTATAGTCCCACTGCCACATGATGCACCTGGCTGCACGAAGGCGGCTCTATCTACCGCCAGGTGCTGGCTGGTTTGCATGCGGGCCCGCCCCGCCCCTCTCCGAATGTCCTCCCCGCGTACACACGCTCTCGCAGAGCCCGGTCGATATGCTCCGCAACACATGGCGGGGCATCGCACAGCCCCCCGCCCCGCCCCGCCCCGCCCGCTCGCTTTGTAAAGCAGCCGCCCGTCCCTCTCGGCCCCTGCCTCCGCGGTTTCGTCTGCACGGGAATGGCACTCCGGGCAGCTCGAGCCGCGGCGCTACGGCGCTACGCGGCGCGGGTTGGGTCGCAGGCTGGCCTTGGCCTCTACGTCGAGGCCGCCCAGCGGCATGGCAGCCCAGCCCAGGGGTGCGAGCGCGCGGCATTCCCCCGTTGGATCTTGGGACCCGCGTGAGCGGCAAGGGTGAAGATGATGAATGAATGAACAACACCGTAGGGATTTTGGCGGCAGGCTCCAGCGACGGCATAATTCAGCGGCTGAGGCTGAGCGTGTCATCGGAATATGAGAGCAATGCCTTTGACTGTGACGATGGTTTATTGATCATGAGATGACAGCTCCAGTATGGTAGAGTTTTGTTCTGATGATGCAACCATTACCTTGCCATCGTGTCGCCAGTGCAGATGACGCGCTTGAAACAGCAACCGAGACACGGGGGTGCAAACAGACAAGCTCCTTAAAATTTTCTCATCTGCATTCCACAGAGCGACACAGTCCTGGCCATCAACTATGGCTAGTATATTTTGGACAGGATCCCACTTAAAATCTGAAATGTTAAATGAAAAGTTGAAAGAAAAATGAAAAGTTAAATGTAAAGAGCAGCCCTGTAAAATGGTTTATAAGGGCAGCACTGTAAAATGTATCCACATTAAATTGAATGGGAATTATACCTGTGACTGGGTGTTTTGTCACAATAACGCAACATAACTTGAATAAAAGAGCACAACTCCAGATCCAAATAACAGCTGGGGCTCGAGCTAGACAAGATGCTAGATAACGACCTCCACTGCTCCAAACAACTTTTGAACTACTCAATTTTCCTAGCTGGGACAAGAATGATATGCTGACTGGTCGTTCCCTTACCTTAACAACTGAAAATTGATCAGAAAAAAAGAATAGGAAGTATTTCACAAATAAATCACAAAACAAGGTTAAATGAATTCTTACAATATGAGTTTTTAAGATAATCGCCTGGTGCTTCTTGGTATACTTCACATTCTGAACTACAAACAGAAGTGTGATGGATCAATTCCAATTCTTCACACCAAGCAATGCAATTTATCATATGCACCTGAAAGAGTTGGTTCCAATCAGGATTTATGTACAAGAACATTTTGTTTGAAACAAAAAAATATACAAAAAATACATGAACATACTTTACTGTTTAGTCCAACAACAGTTAAAAACTGTGATGAAGGTGAAAATTCTACTCCTAATACACCTGCCCACAATTTATCTGGCGACTGCCATTTGCCAATTATGAAACCAGTGTGAGTGCTAAGGAAGAGCACGGGCTGCTGAGGATCACTTGGCCAAACAACAACAATACTACTGTTAGGGCTCCAAGCTACTCCATTTATTCGATGAATGCCATTGCAGTTAATTGTCTAAGAAAAATTTAATCACAGCGTGAAGATCAATATGATATTAAGGATCTGTTAGAGAGAAAATAGGCAAGCCAAAAAACTGGCCGTAGTTAAGATACTTACAATCTCCTTCCTCCACGATATAGAAGAGTAAAGTACTAATTCGTCAGCACTTTCCTTATTGGCAGGGTTTTGCAAAGAACCTATTTCTGGTTTGGTGTCCATATCATTATCAACTTTACATGCAATCACAGCAAGATGTTTCCCATTAGGACTAAGTGCTGCATTTGGTTTTGCCCATGGCTGTACATTATTTATATACTCTATAGTCTGGCCATACTGAACATTAATTTTCCACACAGCCATACGAAACTATAATTAAACATAAAAATAACAATAGTAGATGAGGAATTAGTGGCCAAGATGATACATGATTGGAAGGGAACTATCACTCACCAAGAAGGGTTCTGAAAATAGTACAGTTCTACTGTCAGCCACCCATGAAATTTGGTTCAAGTGTCCCAGCGGCTGTTTAAGCACTGCTATATTTGAGCCACTTACGACGCTAAATATTTTGATGGTAAATGGGCCCTGACACAGCAACAAAGCCGAGTCCCCTGACCATTTAATGACCTGAAAAAGAGAAAACGCAGCATATTGTCACCCAATACCGGTAAGAGGAAGTTCAGAAAGCATAAGAACTACTAACCTTGACAATATCAGCACATTCGAATTTAAAAGCTTTCAATAAAGTGTCAGCATATCTCACTTCAACACAATCAGCACATATACAAGCAAGAAACCTTCCGTTGGGAGAAAAAATTGTTGATTGTCCATTGAACAATTCAGTAAATTCCATATTTTTGCAGATTTGTTCATTCATCAATCATACCGAGCATTTTCGCGGTTTTTCCCGCGCAACAGGTATGGCAACTCTAACGGTACTACAATCAGCTGATGATGGTCAAACGTAAGTTTGTCATACTTCAAACTGCACGTGGTAATCTGACAAGACAGACGACAAAAAATAGAATATTGCCTAAAATGGATTCTCTAGACGAATTCCTTCAATTTTTAACTCCTGATACAAGACTAGATCTAAAGGTTTTCGCAGTAGAACAAGTTTTAGGTACGTTTATGTCGAAGTTTCATAAGAAATCGGTTTTAAAAGAATTCTAACCTTCAAGCAGCATGTAAATGCGTTGTTTATAATTGTTTACAAACATCAAAACCACTCTTGTAATTTTTTTAATTAATAAAAAATAGACCTTAGCTGAAAATTGTTGGGTTGCACAATAATATTGAAGTTTAAAATGCTCAGTATTTGAATGTATTAATTATTTTACTGTTTTTAGTATTTTGTACTACAACTTCAACACCTCTTTAATTTCTGCTACATTCTTCAGGCATGACAGCAAAAGAAGAAGGCCGAGCTCTGATGTGCAAAAACTTGAAAATATTGCAACATCTAATCAAGCTCTGTGATGATAAAGTGCCTGGAGTTGCTCGGGATTCCTGTCTTGCTCTTGTGAACATATCAGGCGATGAAGAAGGGGCACTCGCATTGCTCTCTGAAGAGGTATTTGATATCTAACTTCAGTTGCAACCAGCAATAATTTCTTCAGAATTTTATTTTACCTTTCACAATTTTCATTAAATTTGCAGCATGGCAATACTGAGAGTCAGGGGTTTGTGAGGCAGATGATAGACCTCGCCCTTGATCCGCAGAGCCCTCTTGCAGATCCTGCACTGATGGTCTTATCAAACATCACTCGACCATCTCAACTAACGAGTCAGATTCTTTCACTTATCGTTGGTGATGATAGAAAAGACAGTTATGATGAGAAGAAAGTCTATGAACTACTGGAGCGTATCATGTCAGCTCTTACCTCTACAAAATACAATTCTTTAGGTGCTAATTTACATTATCTAGGACCCCTGCTCAGCAATCTCAGTCAGGTGCCAGTTGTTAGGAGGCATGTATTACTTCACAGTTTTTATGTATTATCCAATGGTTTACATGGCAACTGTTTTAAATTAATATTTGTGTTCAGGTTCATATTGGATCATGAGAGAAAAGTGATTCATCGATTGATTCCCTTCACTGAGTTCAAGGATTCACTTGTGCGAAGAGGGGGTGTGGTTGGATGTTTAAGGAATTGTTGCTTTGATATGGGTAAATTCCTTTATGTTTGTTGTAGCACCCCAAGTCAATCGAAGCTTGGTTTGTTATTAATCGGACTATGCTGTTGCTTACAGATGAACATTCCTGGCTTCTTGGTCCAGATGTTGATATTCTTCCCCATTTATTGCTACCTTTGGCTGGCCCAGAGGAATTTGATGATGAGGATAATAGTAAACTTCCAGTTGACCTGCAATGGCTTCCTGAAGATAAGAAAAGGGAGAGTGATCCTGATATCCGAAGAATGTTACTAGAGGCGCTAGAGCAACTCTGCGCGACAAAAATTCATAGAGAATACATGAGGGAACATAATGTCTACATTATTCTGAGAGAACTTCACAAATGGGAAAAAGATCGCCAAGTGCTCCTTGCATGTGAAAATCTGGTAGACCTGCTAATCAGGTAATCTTTGATGATCAATTTGATAATTTACGTGCAGGGCTGTCAAATGTGCAGATATAATACAGTGAATTTACTGCTTCAGGAAAGAAGAGGAGATCGGAGAAGATAATTTGCGCTCAGTTGAAGTTCCCGAGGATCTTGTCTCAAAGTTTGAGAAGATGGACAAAGACTTTTTGGAAGACAACTAATTTTTTCTGAAACATATATTTTAATCTGTACATTGAAAAAGATTTAAATATATTACCGCGGTACCTGTTCATTTTTCGATTTCACCATGTATTGGGTCTAGGCCGGGCTAGAGGCCGAGGCCCCCTCTCCCACTCCTTTCAAATCCCCCCCCCCCCTTCTTCCCTTCCCCCCTTCCCTTTACCGTTTCCTTGATGTAGCAAGGCTTCAGTGCATCCTTAGCGTAGCGTTTAAAGTGCCTGTCAAAGTGATTCACTTTCTCTAGTGACTAGTTATCTAAAGTAGTTATTTTGGTCCCATTCATCTTGAAATGGCCCAAAACGGTTAGTAGAAGCGTGAAATGTGAAGAACGAAAACAGCTTTGTTGAAATTTGCCGTGCTTTGGGACCTGTGTCGTAAAGTGTTTCCTCCGCGATCAGCTGTATCGCTAGCGGTGACTGAGCTATATTTACATCTAGTTCAATTTCTTTGGCAGTGTGGTTTAAACTATTTCCTCGCAGAATTTCTTTCATAATACCGTATGTTGTGGAGGCCTGTGTGGTTTATGCGCTTTTCAGTCACATCGCGTCAAATTAATTTACCAAGCTTTGGCGGTCATAACCTGATCTGTCAAAGGACAACTTTATATTCTTCTGGTCTCTTTGTTAGTATCACTGTTTAAATCTCATCAAAATTTCTTATGTTACCTTAGGCACCAAGATGGAATTTGATGCAGAACGCTGGCTGGAATCTTCAGGGAAACCTCCACCCCCTGGACCCTATCGTAAGTAATGAATGAATGAAAGTTGTTAGCATATTGATAATCATCACTAATTTTTTATTTATTTTTTTCAGTTGTGCTGGAAGAAAATATTTTAAAAGACTTATACAACAGTTTCTACAGTGAACCTAAGAACATATTGGCCCAGAATGTTTGTACTAGACATGATCCCCTAGAACTTGCCATCAGTAGAAGAAGAATGTCAGAGATGAATAATGTTTTTACTCACAAGGTATTAATAATATGGGTAGAAGTTACCTAGAAATAGCTGACTAAATCTTGGATTGACCAGGCCAATTGGTAAATCTAGTTCTAGACACTTTCACTGCTATCGGACACTTTGGCTTAACTCACAGGATTAACCAGTGCCATTTGTTTTCTTTTTGAAGAGTGTTTCTTTCTACACACTCTCAACTCTTCAGGTTTAACTAAGGTTTCAGCTGCACCCAAATTGCTGAACCTGCTGGAAGTAGGAACAGCCAGCAGTTAACATGTTGAGTCGCATGTGACCACACGTTTGGGCACAATAACCCGTGATTGGTACCCCCCTGGGACTCAATGTGTTAAACAGTGAAAGTAGCTTTATCAAGGATTATCAAATTTGCCTGGTCAAGCCTAGGTTTAGCCCGCCACCTAGCTCTAACCCTAACATTCAAATTCTAAATTGATTACCTAATTGTATTTTTTGATCATTCATTTCAATGTGAACCACCACCAACAGACTGATTACTAAGCTGTGTTCCTAACTTGCATTTCAGATTGAGGTAGAGGGCAAACCAGTCACAAATCAGAAGAACAGTGGTCAGTGTTGGTTGTATGCCTGCTTAAATACAATTCGCATCCCATTCATGAATGCCTTCAATCTCTCAGAGTTTGAATTTTCACAAGCACATCTGTTTTTTTGGGATAAGGTACAACAGACAGTATGATTTTGTACAACATTGTTTTTTTCTGGACTCCATATTGATGTTTGATTTCTTGGTATCTTAGGTCGAGAGAGCCAATCATTTCCTTCATAGCATCATTGCCACTGCCAGCCATGCTATTGATGACCGAACTGTGTGCTTCCTCTTAGCTGTGAGTCTTAATCTTATATTAATGCGCTTAATCTTAAACTTCGTAACCCAATGGTGTTGTTTTCAATTATAATGTTCAGGATCCAATAAATGATGGAGGGCAGTGGGACATGATGGTGAACCTCATAACAAAGTATGGTCTCATACCCAAAAAATGTTTTCCAGAAAGTTTCAGCTCTGAATGCACTGTTCGAATGAACAATATTTTGAAAAGCAAGGTATGGTTTTAGCAAAGGAAATAAATATTTAATGTGGCATAAACAAAATTAAGATGATTTAATGTCTGTTTTCAGTTAAGAGAATATGCTCATGAAATTAGATCCGCTGTTATCAAGGGTGCAGATAAGCCTGCTCTGCAGCAACTGGTACATAGGCAGATGGGTACAATATTCCGCATAATTGGTATTTGTCTTGGGGTTCCACCCACAACCTTTACATGGGAGTACTACCACAATAAAAATACCTATGCCTCTATTGGTCCCATTACTCCCCTTGAATTCTATGAGCAGCATGTCCGTCCTCTCTTTGATGTAAAAGACAAGGTAACTTTTCAGTTTTTGCAAGTGCTCTGGTTTTACAATATACATGAAAAATGCAGAAGTTGAAGTTTCCTTTTGTGCTTTCTAGGTATGTTTAGTAACAGATCCAAGAGAAACAAGTCCATATAATAATGTATACAATGTTCAATTTTTGAACAATGTGGTTGGTGGGAAACCAGTTCTTTACAACAACCAGCCGATAGAGGTCCTTGAGCAAGTTGTAGCAGAAAGTATCAAGCAAGGAGAAGCTGTTTGGTTTGGTTGTGAAGTTTTGAAAAGATTTGCACTTAAGCTAGGTGTGAGTGATTTAGATGTGTACGTATTTGCCAATTTTTTTATTTTGTATGGATTATTAATTTGAAGTACATATGTACGAGCTAAGTTATCCTGCTCTTTTAGGCACGACTATGAAGTTCTGTTTGGAACGGATGTTTCTCTGCCTCTTACGAGAGAGGAACGTCTTTTGTACCATGACTCTGCAATGACCCATGCAATGGTCTTCACAGGAGTTTCACTTGATGTAAGTGAAATGGAGTGTTTCATTATATCTATCTTTACACCTTGCTGTTAAACATTTGAGATTATTGTTTCATGATGTATGCTGAATGCTTTGTCCTTTGTCCCCATAGGGAAATGGTCGGCCAACTAAATGGAGAGTTCAAAACTCATGGGGAGAAGATCGCTGTGACAAAGGGTACATAACTATGAGTGCTGAATGGTTCCGGCAGTATGTATTTGAGGTCACTGTTGATAAGAAATACCTCTCAGCAGAAATTTTAGCTGTATTTGAGAAAAATCCCATAGTTTTACCGCCCTGGGATCCAATGGGTGTACTAACCCAAGAAAAAACTGATTAAATACCTCTACCAGTACTTAAATAGAAGATCTGAGAGTCTGGAAAAAACCATTGATACTGATTTTACTGAAGTTAGCTCAATTTGTACATCACTTATAGATAAAAAAAAAAAAAGACCTCAGTGTTACTTTTTGAACACTGAATTTTTATCAAAACTCAATCACAATTTGAAAAAGTTGTACGGTTTGAAAAATATTCTATTCACTCCAAAAACTTTTGAAACTTAATTCTCTTATGTATATATACTGATTGTTTTATTATTTTTACTAGATATATTGACCATGATATTATAAAAGTAATAATTTTATAAGGTTAATGAAGAGCAAACAAGACCTGTAATTGATTAACTTAAATTATCAAGTTGTGTATAGACTTACTTGTCAGGTCATGTGATACAAACCTCTGATTATTTTAATTTATGAAGAAATCCAGTGTATTTGTTGTTGATTTGATTATGAGCATAATTTAATTATTTTAAGTACTACTATAAAATTAACATTCATTGTGGCAGGACCTCCACCCTTTCAGTAGGAGATGATGTTTTGTAATGGAGAATGTAACTTTGCCGTGCAAAGGATATTGTAAATTTAAATTAATTAACTGCACCATTAAACAAATAATAACTTACATTTCCTTCAGATTATTTTTCGAAAATGTTTTCCTACAGTTAAATTCGGGAGAAGAGATTATTGGAATCTATAACCTCTTCTCTTTCTTCTTCATAAGGGATTTGCTTATCTCTCTTCTCTGCTGACTAATTTTACTTCTGGGATCATGAATTTCATACCAGTCATCATCCTTGGTGTTGGCATCCTTAGCCAGGGTTGGTGTGTCCGACTTAAAATTGAGTTTGTGAGCCAACCTGAGGATTAAAGGAATATAAGATGCTAGAGCTTCAGTATATGTAAAACGTCCAATCTGCATAAAAATAATTCACAATTAGCAATACACACCATTTGTCACTGGTATCATCTTCATCACTAGGAATTTCCAGTGGAACCTCTTCGCTTGTGCCCTCTGCTTCATTTTGCTCTTTAACAGCGCGGAGTTTATTTCTAAATTTGTCTAGCATACCTAGGGTAAAACTTTCTCTGGAAGCTCCTTCAACAACAATCAAAAAATTAATGGTCATGATATCATCAAGGTACTATAGTTACTGTATACTGTCAATACAGTATACTGTATTGACAATTAGGCTCACCCTTTTTGGGGAAGTTTGTTTTGGCTTTAAACTTTTTCATTTCCTCTTCGTGAGCAACGTACAGAGGATTATCTTCAGGTTTTGATTTTGGCTTAGTGGACGCTTGTTCCTGAACTGGTTCTTGAAGTTTTGTACGTTTTCTTTCGTCTTTATAACTTTTCTTTAAATCGTCAATTTCTTTCCGAATATTTTCTCTGCAAGAAAATTAGGTAATAAATACACACCAACTGTAAACAGTAAACACATTGACAATCAAAGAACAGCAAGCAAGCAAACGTACACTTTTCTTTTTCTTTCCTCCCTTTTTTCTTTGGCAAGAGAAAACTCTTCTTCACTATCGCTGGATTCATTTTTCTTGCTGATAGATTTGCTGTCTAATTTCTTTAGCTTACTTTTAACTGATTCCATTTGTTGCCTGTTAATAAAAAAATGTGTTTTGTGACTTCAAAGTTACCCTTGGGAAAAGAGTTTACTAGGGAAAATTGCACTTACTGTTTTTCAGCTATATCACTGTCTTCAGAATCTGAACTTTGTTGGTCACCACTTAAGGCATCTGACTCAGACTCATCACCCTTCTTAACTGTTTCTACAGCTGGCACAGAACTTAAATTAGGATCATCTAAAACGTCATGAGTTGATTTACCTTTCCCACTTAATTTTTCATTCACACTATTAACTTGCTCTTCATCCTCTTCAGCTTCCTCTCCAAATGACAAAAGTTTAAAGTTTTTAACACCTGCCTGCTTTTCTTTTTTCTTGCTTTGCTTCTTTTCCTTTATAAAATAATAATACATAGGTCTTGTATCACCTGGTTACGTCATTGCAGCTTTACAAAATACAAGTCACTGACCTTTTGTTTAGGAAGAACTCTAGGGACAATATCAGGAAATGGATTATACAGAACCTCTGTGCCAAAGACCTTAGGAGGATATTGAGGACGATCATCACGACCCACAAGAGCATCTTCTAGCTTCATCATGTTAAAGACAGTTTCTCCAGAGACCTACACAATCACAAAAAATGCACCAAACACATTAGTTGACATGCTCTAGGAAGAAACAATTTAATTTATTAATAAAACTGATATACTTTTCCAAAAATGGTGTGTTTATTTTGAAGCTCAGGTGTTGCAGCAAAAGTAAAAAAAAATTGAGACGCATTGTCATCCTTTCCTGCATTTGCCATTGCAAGTAAACCCCTCCGGATAAAACGTAGTCGTGTGTGGAACTCATCCTTGAAAGGTTGGCCATATATTGATTCGCCACCTGAAGAGGAGAAACATGAACAGTGAAGTAGCTTACAGACCTATGATTTATCAACTTTGTAAACGTCAGTTAAACAAAGTACCTTCGCCTGTTCCGGTGGGGTCACCTCCTTGAGCAATAAAACCCTTGACAATTCGATGAAATATAGTGCCATCATAGTAACCCTCGAGACAAAGCTGTATGAAATTCCTACATGCCTTGGGGGTTTCTTTCGACCACAATTCAATATCGATGTCACCAACAGAAGTTTTAAGAAGAACCTAGGATATTAAAGAATCCAATAATGAAAAAGAGAAGTGAATACGAGCAGTAAGCAGGTTAGGTCATTGTGACATGTAATTTTTTTCGTACCTTTCCGTGAGTGGGAGGTTCTTGAATGTATATATTACTCATGACAGCCTTTTAAAAGAGCGATCAAGTGCATTAAAGGGGGAGATTTCTCCCTAAATAGAATAGAAACGTAAAAAGTTTGATGTGTCTCTGAGCAGACAATTGTTTATGTTTTCGTTGTATTAAATTGAACCTCGCACCCGGCACCCGGCAGGTCACTCCGAACGGGCCGAGCCGAAGGCCGAACGGCCGAACCTTGCCGAACCTACCGAGCGGCAACCGATGAGCGATATGAAAACTCAATCCAAGTGATCTTTTCCCCTCACCCCCAGGAGGAACAGGTAAAAATATTCATCGCAATTTGTAGAATGAGTGAAAATGCATAATTTATTGATATTGAATAGGTTAAAGAAATTTTTGATTAATGCTGCTTCCTTGCCTTGTCCTCAGAGGAGTCCTTTTAATAATATTATGTTTTACACATTTAGATATGGTCGCATCGAGAGATTATTATCATTGCTTTGGTCGAAATTCAGGAAAAAAATTATGAGGAGGATGAACTATATCATGTACAACCCGTGGGGACCTTTGAACTGGGGGATTATTATGTTTCCTGAAACTTATCACAAAAGCAGGATAAAAGGTGTGGTCTTCATATTTTACAATGACATCCATAGTTTTCTTGTTTCTGGCAGTGGTATCATATCTGAGGTTGGTTCCTTGAATGTAAGGTGGTTTGGTGAGAGTCAACCACATATTGGTTGCCTCAGGCACTTCTAATATATTAGATACAAGTACAGAGCATAACAGCATTTGTTTGACTTGTTCATCCTCATCACAATAATAACTGGCACTTGCAGCAAAAGCCGTGAAGTTCACACCTGCACCATACAGTCGACGTCCTGCGCATTTAATGAAAAATGTTACGTATAATGTCGGAATGTCAGGGGAAACCATAGTTGCAAAATGAGGGAACCTACCTTTGTTACGACCATGAAGACTAATATTGAAGTTGTCTCTTACAATTGAAGGTATATTCATACATTTGGTTCCATGAAAAAGCTTAACTATTTTACAATCCCCATATAGTTCTTTATAATTTGCTTTATTGCTGTCAAACAATAACTGAAGAGCATGATTGTTCACTTTCTCTATGGCTTCAATGCTCAACACAAAGTCTTTACCCTTAGCACTTTTGAGAAAGACTGTGAAACCAAAACAAAATCGAGACATTCAGAAAAATACAAGACACTGGAAATCATCACAAGTAAATAAGAAACTCACATGCTGAAACTTCCTCATATTCAGAATTGTCAGTACTCAGCTGATGCCTGTAGGCACACTCATTTGTCACACTCATTGTCTTTCTATGTCCAATTATTTTGCGGAGGTACGGAGACTTTTATCAACGACCTTTGTTCAGGAGACCTAACGCCATGACAACTATCTTTACGTCGAGGTTCGATCGAGCGCTCAAGCTATGGACGAGATCGGGATCGGGGAATAACCCAACCCCAATGTGGCATTGTGATTGTGGCAACAATGCACTCAAACCGATTCCAGTGTCGTGAGAAAAGGCGGAGGGAGAGAAGTGGCGGTAGCTGGGCTAGCTGGGACGCCCCGGACGCCCCGACTCAGCTCGAGCGGCACCGATCCTCGCCCAGGCCGTTAATCGTTAATCCCCCAACCCGTCGGGATTTTGGAAAACCGTGTTCCGGAACACTGCAGTGCGACCAACAGACGTTCGGTGGTTCGGTGCCAACAACTAACCGTCAGATCAGGCCAGGTCTGCCGTCTCGCCTGCCGTCGACCATCTGAGCAATTAGTTTCTGTTAAGTGTCAGGTGTCAGGTGTCGTCTCCCTTAATCCCACAGTGAACGTTTCACCAGGCGATGCTAATGACAGCGCCTGCCATGCCCTGGGTAGGCCAGCCCGCCATGCAGCTGAGTTGCGCCGGCGGCCCCGCTAGAGCGCCCAGTGAATTGCGGGAGGTACTTCAAGCAGGAGAACGTTTTTGACGCCAAATGTTCCCTCGCGACAACTCGCTAATAGCTACCTACACCATGGTGATTGCTATATGGGGTACGCCGTGCCATTACGAATGAACTCAGTGCGTTGATATCAGGATAACGTCGCTTATAAGAAATGTAAGCGAAAAAAAAACTCGATTTTTTTGAAACGTTTTCAATGTATTAAGGTATGGATTTATTCTTACAAAATACACAGTCTTTCAGTTAAGTATTTTTTTCTGATGGCCGCTTAGATATACCAACATGTAATGTAATCATCATCTATCAAAATGAGGTTGATTTATTAATCGATTCTATATCCTAAAACTATTTACAATATACACACACTTCTTCCAACCACATACTGCGAGTAATTCGCGTCAAAAAACGACGATCTCAGTGACTTCCTTCCATCGACGATGCAGGTGAGATGTTGACAGTGACAGTTGACACCTCTTTGGTGATCACCACTCCAACTCCCCGGGGATATACTTGTCGATGAGGGTCTGGTAGTAGCTGGTCAGCTCCTTCATGTCGGGGAGATCATCGTCGGTCTTGGTGTACAGGTCGTATTTGCTGAAAGACGGTCGAGAACGTGTTAGGACAGCCTGCATGAGGGGGGCGACCCTATTGCAACTCACATCGAGAAATTTCCGGGTGCAACCAATTCCCCTTTTTGATACTTACTTGAACTCGAGCACCCACTGCATCATGTCCTTGTCCTTCTGGTTGCAGAGGTGCATGTAGTCGCCGCCGGCGTGCCAGGGGTAGAAGGAGTGGAACCTGATCATGCACAGGGCCTCCTCGGGAAGGGTGCACTTGTTGTGCTTGAGCACCTGGTAGAGGTACTCGTCGTGGCCCCAGGACATGGTGACGTTCTCCAAGCCGCACTCGGGCTTGTAGATACCGTACTTGGTGCTGTAGACGGGGTGCTTGCCGTCGGGGTTGTTCTGGAAGCTGGTGTCGCGGTACACGATGGAGGGTCCCCACTCGCAGCCGACGACGAAGGTGTCACCGAGGACAGCCCACTGAGGCTCGTCGTACAGTGCCATGATCTGAGAGAAGTTGGGAAGAGCGTGAGCGTGATAGGAGTTGAAAGCGCGGGTGGGAGCTGTTCATGATAGCGAGGGCCTCGACGGCCATGCAACGCACTTTGCCGATGTCGTGGATGAGACCGGTGAGCTGGAACCATCCCTTGTCGGGGTGCTCCCTACGGATGCCCTCCGCCGTCTGGAAGCCGTGATATACATTGGGGATGTCGACGTCCGGGTCGCTCTGGTCGGTGAGGCCGGAGTCGGACAGGCGGTTCAGGACGTCCATGATGGTGCCCTTGAATGTGTCGAACTTGAGCCACTTGTCGTGACGGCCTGGAGGGGGCGGAGGGTAAAGCCGGTTAGTGTTGCAGCACTGTTGTTGGAGATGTATCGAGGCGGGTTGACGCATTGCGGGAAAAAAAGTTTTCACTCACTTTTGACGAAGTCTACCGTCTGGTTGGTGTGCATGTCGATGTAGAGCTTGCGCACTCGCTCCTTGATGGGGTCCGTGGGGTCGATGCTGAAGTCGCGGTACTGGGCCACGGGTTTGGTGGTGAAGGCGGGCTCCGGCCGCAGCAGCTCGGATGCGTCGAGCACATCTAGTTTCTTGTTCTGCAGACGACAATTTAATATGTCAACCTCAAAAACTGTTTGGGATGTAAAAAACCGAGGTTTTTCCCGTACTCCTCATCCATCCCAAAGAAAGAAAAGAAATTGATTACTGTGAACATTTCCAATTTTTGCCTACAAATAACTTATTTAGACTTTTTTAACGGTTTTATTTCCTTTCTTTTCTGAACTTTTCAAGGACACACCATTTTTTGATGGTTTCCCTTTGTACCTTTTGTTATTGCCTCACTATTTGCTATCAGCACGTCACGAGAGGGGCACTTATCTCACACACGACTGAGCATTGCATAAATTTGACCCCCCCCCACCTCCTCTCTAATCCCCAACCCTCTTTTGCGCAACGGCGCGCCAGTCACCAAAAGGTCATGGTGATAATATTATTTTTCACACTGTTCGCAAGTATACGTGATTATTTTGTAAGAAAGGGGCCCAACATTTTGCTATGCATTACACCGCAAAAGCGGTACACTCCAATATCAGATAGAGTTTATCCACCCTTGGAGTTTGAACACGACGATGTTGACTACTCTGGAAAATGTTTTGAGCTCGGAGAGCCTTGAGACACCGTGTGATGCGTCTATGGGCGATATCGCGACCGAGACATACTGCCCCGTGCATTGCGTCGGCGACAAGGCCAGTTTAGCAGACCCAGTCTTTGGGATTTCGTTTCGGACGTTTATTCGTACAATTTGCTTCTTGAATTTCCCTGTAATTGACAACATTCGACCAAATTTTCTGAGGGTGATGCCGATACTGACCTGGGGTGCCATGGTGCGGTGCTGCTGTCGTTTGCTCGCTTCAAGCCAAACTGAGCCGTCGGGTCTCGTCTCCCGATTTATGTTTCCTTTCGGTCGCGGCTCGTCCCGCGATATCACCCGTTGCATCTTACCCCCACCCACTGCGCCATCCTCGCGTATTGCTTTCCAACTTTCTTTGCCTCGCGACTTATCTCTCATTTATCCTTTTCTCTCAAATTTAGCGAGTTATCTGTTCGAACAAGTGTATGTGGAATAATATACTTTTGTTTTCTTTTATTTGGGTAAACGTGTCACGGTGAGGGCGACGGTCGTCGCCATGGAGAGATGGGGCCGAGGTTGGGCCCGGATTAGAGAGACTGCGTTAAGGGATCACACATAAAATGCGTCAGTCCGGCGAAACTGCAAAGTTCAACCTATGCGAGCCTCCATAGCGCCTTACAGGTAGGCAACATCTTGCCTGCAGTGCATGCGTGTACTGTGGGGTGGCCTACCCCGAGTCTTGCAGGCGCCGAGCTCCCGTAATTTTCCAAATGCGTCTTGTAGGAAAAAAACGGGCGCACCTTTTGGCAGTTTCCAAAGCAAGGCTCGAGCCGCTGAGACTGCGAGGTAAGGAGCGCCTGTCAAGGAGCAGGTAGGCGACACGCTACACACGGGAGACGTTGAGTTGCCTACGCGGCGCCTCTAGGGCGCGGGGCGCTCACCTGATGGCACAGAGCGGGGAACTAAAATGCAGCGGCTGGGTGGGTGACTAAAGCAACAAGTCGCAATCCTCTTACATTAACGACATGTTTTGTAATTGCAGCGACTCTGTAAGATCTGTTGTCAATTACAACAATTACAATGCCAAAATCAGCCAAAACTTTGGTGCTTTCTAATAATCAGAACTGTAATTTTTTGCCACTTTAAATGCCAGATTGGCATTCTGTCGGACGAAACCAAAGGTTTTGTTTGCAGTTGGAAAAGAAAACCCAAAGAATCATGGCCACATTGAGGTCATGCCACACTTAAAGCTGTGTGCGCCTTCGTTCGACTTGGTCTTAAACAGCAGTCTCTTACTTTTTACTGATTTTTTGGCAAGACTAATAATGCTAATAGTAATAGTTTGCCACAGTTTACGTGAAACGGAGTTTCGCGGTCACTTCTTTTAGGACTCATTTCCATAGTTGCGTGATTGGGCAGAAGAAGTGAAAGACGTGTGGTGAGAATGATAAGGAAGAAAGGGGAGCTGGTGGAAAGGGTGACAGAAATAACAAGTCCCAGCGGGAGGCCTGAGTGACCCGTCCGAGACCTCGTTGCTGATAACCAAACCTCGCTTTCTCCCGTATCTTGAGAAGGGCCGACCTTGCTTTATTTGTCTTCTAGCCCGATCCAAAAAGAATTCCGCGCCAATGTATGTGGGCGTCTTGCAAAGAAAACAAGGGGTTGTGTAATAATCAACTTTCTCTTGTGACGAGTGCTTCGATTCTCCATTGTGCCTCTGCAATCGGCTCTACGGGGTTGCAGAACAGTTCGTGACCTGAGCTGAGCAACCGCTAAAAAAAAGGACGTCAGAGATGAAAATCACTGGTCCGTTTTGTATCTTTCCGTTAACTTCTAATATGTCGCTGTCCTCTTTTGCGCGACTGCATGCGGTATGGTGGACGTGGGCGCGAGGAAAGGTCAGAGGGTTATAACACAACATTTTATTGAGTGCCATCGCAAGTCACTTTAAATAATCGGTCGGTACAAAATAGAATTTCATTCTGTTTTTGACGATGACTTTAGGGTAACATGGCACTTCTGTCTCGACTGGAGAGAATGGTCATTAATATGTTACAGTGCAGTCAAAGAAACGTGAGAAAATTTGGAGCAGTTAAATTCTGAAGAAAACGTTGGGAGGGGAAACTGAAAAATAAATTAGGAAACAGTTTCTTTTTTTAAAGTTCCGCATTGGCCTGAGAACGGATTGCTTCGTCCCCCGCCGCGGTCGTCGGCTCTCACTAGCACGCCTCAGTGTTCGTTCATGCCGCGAGTGTGTTGGTCTCAGCTCAGCGCACTCGCCCTTCTAAGCGAAGAGCGGGCTGAGCAGGTCGTTTTGCAGCCGCTCATGGCGCAAGGAGTCGCATCGTTTTGCTCGGCTCCTAGTAGTAGTAGCGGCCGTAGCGGAAGTAGCCGCCGCTCCTGCCGCTCACGTACGAGTCGGCGCCGCGGGCCTGCGGCAGCGCGGTGCACTGGCTGACGGCGTCCCCGGTGAAGCCCGGCGGGCACGTGCACACGGCCACGTGGTCGCGGGCGCGGCAGTCGGCGTTGACGCCGCACTGGCCGGCGCACGCGTCCCGGCACTCGTAGTTGAGGCAGGCCTGGTGGCTGCCGCAGTCGGACGAGGACGAGCACTCGCCTCGCCGGCAGTAGGACAGCGGGTCGCCCTTGTAGCCCGGCAGGCACGTGCACACGGGACGGTCCTTGCCCGACCGGTCGTAGCCCGGCTGGCACTGGGCGTTCTCGCCGCAAGGGTTGGGGTCGCACAGGTCACCTGCGGGCGAAAGTGAGTGAGGTGAGTGAGCGGGGGGGAAGAGGGTCGAAAAAAAGGGGAAATAAGGGTGGTATTTAGTTGTCAGTCTTACAAGGTCGCTGCACAAAAAGAAGTGTGCGACATTCCAAAAATGTAAATGTGTGTGCCAAAAATGTCAAACACAAGAGTGTGTAGCCATTGTGTTAGAGAAGAAAAGTGTGTGACAATGATGTCATTCACAGACTGGCATACTCACGTCTGCATGTGACATTTTGGCACGCACTCTAAAGTGTTCTTTTTGCAGAGGAGGGCTCGGCGGGGTACCAGCAACACTTACGCTTCTCGAAGGGCCTGCAGGAGACGAAGGGGTCGCCGGTCATGTCCCTGGGGCAGCTGCAGATGGCCGTGGCGTCGCGCACCTTGCAGTCGGCGTTGATGCCGCACACGCCCAGGCAGGGGTTGGTGCAGCGCGCCGCCACGCAGGACGGCCGGTCGCGGGGGCAGTCGCCGTGGCTCAGGCACTCGGCGCGGCACGACGTGTAGGGGTCGCCCAGGTAGCCGGCCGGGCACGAGCACACGGCGCGGTGGTTGCGCACCTCGCAGTTGGCGTTGTCGCCGCAGGTGCCGGACGTGCAGGCGACCTGGCAGGTGAAGTCGCGGCACTGCTGGCCGCGGCCGCAGTCGGCGTCGGCCTCGCACTCGTGGTGGCAGCCGTTGAGCGGCGACCCCTTGTAGCCCGGCAGGCACGAGCACGTCGGCACGAGGTTGATCACGTCGCAGCGCGTGTGCGCGCCGCACGTCGTGGCCGTGCACAGCTCCTCTGCAAGGGAGAGAGGAGGGCGGCGGTGAGATTGGCCCTACCGCTCGTCGTCGAGATGAAGTCATATCGAACGAACTGTGATTGATTGTGTCACATATTCCGAGGGGCGCCAGATTATTTGGGGCCCACGTCTTTACCCAGTTGAATTGGGTATAGGGTTTTAAATTTACCAGAAAAATATTTTTGCAAACTTTTTAAAGATTTTTTGAACTTATTTGTTTCCGATTTTCTGGTCGTATATTTCAATTTTTTCGAATATTTTTTTTAAAAAGTTTTTAATTTTTTCAGAAAAATTTTGGACTCTAAAATCCTTAGTTAGTCACCTCTCACCATGCCAGGTGGCTGATTCACGCCGCGCACTTTCGTAGATACTGTACAGCATGCACGAGTTCTGGCGGGTCGCCTTCTCGCACGGGGCCATAAGGAGCCGTGTGCTGCGAGGATAGGCAAACCCGCTCGCACCCGTGCATGCGGTACAGTATAACTACGGAAGTGCGCGGCGTGAATCAGCCACCTGGTATATTCTCGACGGGGTACTTACGCGGGTCCATGCGGCGGCAGCTGCTGATGGGGTCGCCGGTGTGCTGGGGCGGGCACGAGCACACGGGGATGTGGTTGCGCACCTCGCAGTGCGCGTTGATGCCGCAGGTGCCGGCGCACGCGTCCACGCACTCGTAGTTCTGGCACTTGCGGTTGTGCGGGCAGTCGCTGCTGTCCTGGCACTCGCCGCGCTGGCAGTAGGTGAGCGGGTTGCCCTGGTGGCCGGGCAGGCACGAGCACACGGGCCGGGCGTTCACCTCACGGCACTGGGCGTTGCGGCCGCAGGGGTTCGGGTAGCAGGGGTCGGAGTTGGAGGCCATGCCTGCGGGCAGGGTGTCTGTCAGTCGGGGCAGACGAGGCGGCAGGCAACGCCACCACCACCAGGCCCTAGCGTAGCCGGCGTGGTGTCGTGCCCAAGACTTTAAAAGGCAGACATTCGAAACACATCTATCGTTATATGATTTTCGTTTCGTTTAAAGGCTCTGCCATAGGATTAATTTGGGTGCGAATTAAGCGCTATATACAAATGCACTGGTCAAACAAAGGAAGAAATCAACAAACCTAAAGGTACTAAAGATACTGCTCGCACACCTTTACCAAAGGCATTAAACTCACTCAAAGGTACTAACACTTTTAAACACCTTTAGGTCGTTTTAAGTGCCCTCGGAAAAGGGATGCGAGATCGTTCATTTCCAACTATAATGCCCTTGCGTTTGTTTTATTTTCAGTGTAAAGTCGTTTTATCATCAAGTTATAACTATTAGGTGAGATCTGCTGTACACATCGTGCTGCGCTGCGAGTGGGGCGGAGCATGGACGCTGGCGCTTGCGCCGGCAGTCCGCGAGTAGGCAGCCCAACCTACACGCGGTCGCGCTTGCGGGCCGGCCGGGCTGGGTGTGGACGAGGGTCAAGTGCTTTGCGTGCAGCTATTCCGATCGGGCTAGTCACGGGTAAAGTCACGGGCCGTTAGTTAAGTTCAACGGGCGAGCAGTGTGGACCGTGCGAGAGCGAAAAGTGATTTTAGAGGGGAAACAGGCAGTTTTGCTCTGTACAATCGGGATATTTTAAATAGAAATAATAAAGTTGGTTTTAATTTGTTGTTTTCTGCGGGGAAGATTTTTCAGCTTTTACTATTAACATTCCTTTGCTTTTCTCACAAGTGCATGCAGTATGCAGTCTAGAGTGTGCTCTGGCGGGGAAAGGAAGAGTGTGCTGGTGCTAGTGCTGGTGTGCACGCGTGTAAACGTGGAGAGGCTATTCGCAGAGGCATTCTGCTGATAGCCACACTCACTCCCTAGGCCGCCCATGAAAAAGTACGCTTCTCCCACATCACAGCTCTCTTTCTCTCTCTCTATCTCTGGTCGGTCCGATAGAGGGAGCGACAGAGAGAGAGGGGGGGATAGAGAGAGATGATGGACAGATAGGCGTATTGTACGGACGGCCCCGTGGGCGCCAGGCGCCAGTGGTAGTGCAGTCGTGGGGTTGAGTCCATGCTGGTCCGTGCTGCGTGCGTGGCGGGGGCGGGGGCCGCGGGGGGCCCGCCGCCTCCACGCCAGGGCGACAAACCTAAGGCTCTGTAGTACGAGTACCGGTACGGGGTATAGGGCGCGGGCGAGGAGGACGGGTAGTAGTAGATCGAACCTGAGACGCTTCCCGCGAGGCACGCCGCCGCCAGGGCGGCCAGAAACACCCCTCCGCTGTAAACCATCTGGAACAGAACAAAACGGAACAACCGACTTTAGTCGTGAAGAAATGTCTGTCAAATACTCTTATGCAAATTGGTACATGTTCATCCATCATGAAATTGATTTTATCTAGAGAGGGGGAAGGCTGACACGACAGACTTTTGCGTCTGACAATGAGCCGTATTTTCTAGAGTTGAGGCGTGGACAGCTGACACCCTAATACAGAACAACGCTGGTCGCTCTGCGCCATCGCATATCGTGAGCCCCCCCCCCCCCCCCTCAACGCCCACAGTCGGCCTCGTGGACCAGAGGCGCCACGCATTCTGCCGAGACACAAACTCAAATAATAATAAAGATTCTCTCCTGGCCGAAAGGACGGTTGCCGCCGGAACAGTTCGCCGCGGACACTTCCGGGCGTTCATCTCCGCGGGAGTGCGGTTGGAGCGGGTGCAGGGCCCTGGGTGGGTGAAGACTCATCATCTCGGACTGGGAAGGGAGAGAGAGAGGGGGGGGGTGTCGAGGGGACTTTCACCCCATCAAATCAGTTTAACCCCCCCCCCCCCCAAAAAAAAAGGTATAAAACAATTGTTTTTCTTAAGAAAGGTTCAAGGAAAATGGGAAAAATAAGAAAAAAACAACAGAAAAATTGGTGTACGCTTGTATGAATAGTAAATAAGGACCCCTCGGACGCGACCTGCCAAACATTCCCGCCCCTCGCGCCCGCACGGCGCACCGCGCTCCGAGTGCCCCATTCAGAAAGATTAAAACAACAACGAAGGCGGAAGGACGGCGCGCGGTACACCAAAGAGGCTGGTCCACTGATCAGCATCGGCCGCCACGCCGCACATCTCACTTGTGCGAGAGCTCATACGCCCCCTCTCATAATTCGCCAAAGTCTTTTCGCGCTCGTTTTGATGATTGGTGTTCGCGGCAGACCATTTTCACAACAAAAGCTCAGCCACAAAAAGGGGAGCTAAAAAAAATTTGCGCCCGCGGCTTCTAAATGGGCTGTGGTCACAACACAACGTAACAACACGCCACAGGCCACCGAGCCTCATGCATACGTTATCACCATTCATCACGGACCAATGATCTACGGCCTCAAAACTACCTCATCTGCCCGTTTCGATCTTTCTTTTTCTGCCGTTTGCCGCACGGGCCAAACGGCAGCCCATGGTACTGCTACAGTACGACCGACCGGTTGTTGTGGGAAACATCCATCGCCATCTCATGCGGTTTGATTATATCGGTGATTGATTTTAACCATATCTTCTTGCTAATCAAAACTAAGAAAACGGGAAGACATCACTATAACTTTTGGTGTGATGGTGGTGTCTGCGTTCGGAGTGCACACCACGGAACCTCTCAAAGTCAGTTTGATAATTAATTTTTCTCTTCCCGACAAAGACTCAAGACTCGCAGACACCCACGTTTCAAACGAACGTGTACGTCGCGGCCGCATATGTTTGTCCCTGTGTGTGTGTTTCAGAGAGAGACAGACAGACAGAGACAGAAAATATAGACGGGACGAGGTGGCTTTCAGGTAAATCAATACGAAGCAGGTACCTGCCCGGGAACCCAATATTTTGAAAACTGTCGTAATTCTTTTGAAAACAGATCCGACGAATAAAAGAATCCTATATAGTTCATGCGGCTCGCGCCGCGCAGTCAGAAGCGAAATGCAAACATGTGGTGGAGAATGTCATCGTTTTACTCGAGCTCGGGAGGCGATAATAACAACGAGATCACTGGGATCATCACAGGCCTTGGATGGACCGCGCCCACTACACTTCCA